CAAAGGAGGTGATGCTCCCCCTCTATGCGGCACTGGTCAGGCTGCAGTTGGAGTACTGTGTCCAGTTTTGGGCACCACACTTCAAGTGGGACGCGGAGAATCTGGAGAAGGTCCAGAGGAGGGCCACTCGCATGATTAGTGGCCTTCGTGATAGACCCTACGGGGGGAGGTTGAGAGAGCTGAATCTCTTCAGCCTTAACAAGAGGCGGCTGAGGGGAGATCTTATGGCCGCCTGCCTATAGATTTCTTAGGGGAGGTCAATGGGGAATAGGTGACGCACTGTTTACTAGGGCACCCCAGGGAGTGACTAGGAATAATGGGTGTAAACTAGTTGAGAGTGGATTTAGGTTGGATATTAGGAAGAAATTTTTCACAGTAAGGGTGGCCAGGATCTGGAATGGGCTTCCAAGAGAGGTGGTGCTATCACCTAGCTTGGAGGTCTTCAAGAGGAGGCTAGATAGTCACCTGGCTGGGGTCATCTGACCTCAGTCCTCTTTCCTGCCAGGGGCAGGGTGTCGGACACGATGATCCATTGTGGTCCCTTCCGACTCTATCTACCATCTATGAAATAGAGGAAACCTCTTTTAATTCAGTCAAGTAAGAATTTTCTAATTAAATCAGGATAGTGACTTTAGCCAAGTTAGAAAAAAAATGCTGTTAAGTACTTTCCTGGGCTGAACCAGTTTCAATGGGATATCTGATTTGTTACACTGAGAGTACAGGTGGTCTAAACTTGTTTGTTTCCCTCCATTTTTCTTCCTCTTTGTGAACTCAAAAATTTTAAAAGTCATCCTCTTTTCAGTGAACAGAGTCTAACGACTGTACACTTTGGGGAATAAAGTGTCTGTTGATCTAAGATTGAAAAGAAGGATCAGTTGTGTCCATTTTTACTGGATATATGCAAAGATGGTTTAGCTGCTTCTGTCACAACACAACCACACAACGCTTTTGACTTTCTTATTGACTCTGACCATTTTAAAATAGTAATATATAATCCAAAGCACTTCTGTATTTCTTCTAAATACTATAAAGTTAGTAAATGACATAAGAGATTTAAATAGAAAATAGCCACAGTATCTAAAAATTAACTCTTAAATTAAACAACATACAATCAGGGCTAACTTAATCCCGTCAATTAAAGGTTAAGTCTTTGCTTATATGAATGTTCTGTGGGTGAAATTCACTCTTGTATATAACATGTCTATGACATGATGTATATGCCCAATGTTGGGGCTGAGGGGCTGTGGCCAGCAGCCCGGGCACGTGGGCCAGGGAAGTCGGCACGGCGAACTAGAATTAGGCACTGACGCGTAGAGGTTGATTAAAGATTATTTTACTTACACCGTAGATGGTCGCGGTGCAGGCAGGAAAACTTGCTTGGTTACAGTTGTAGACAGAAGAAAAACTCGAACGATGAGAGCTCTTTAAACCGATACGAGAGTCCGTGCTGTGACTCTCAATGAGAGCACAGGGCAGGGGTACGTCAAGGATCGTCTGGTGACGGGGAGAGGCTCTTGATGGCTGATCAAACCACCAGTCGGTCCGAGATATACGTGGAAATCCACGAGGTAATCGTGGACTCCTTGCCGGAATTCTCTCGGGTTTCTCCCGGGATTCTCGGAATCGGGGTTCTCAGGATCCTCCTGACATTCTCGGAGATCTCCGACTTGGGCGGAAACTGCTCAAGCCTCTTATACGGCTAGCAAGCCAATCGCTAGCCGCCACGTGAGAATAATTTAGAAACAGCCAATAACGGGGAACAAATTTACATACGGGTGGCAGGAACTCCTTTGCACCGGGGTTTTTCTCTCTGCAGCTGAGAATTGCACTGTGCAAAGAAAGCTCCATGTGGCGGGAAATAATTCTGCAGTGCCGAAGCATGCACACAATCATTGGGTAATGACACCCAACAGTTGAATTTAAAATAGAACACCGTGTTTTTGCTCCAGTAGAAATCTGAATTGTCTCCAATGCTAGAGACAAATTACACGCTAACCAGTATAAGTGATTGGAAACTGGTTCAAAACTATAATGCCACAAAAATTCAGTGCACATAAGCCTGTTTCAGCCATTTTGAAAGCGGTTTAAGATGAGGCTGGATGGATGTAGTATCAGACCTAATTGATTTAGGTTAAATTGGTTTATTGAATTGCTGTCCCAGATCCCCTCCAGATTCAAGTTAACTTAGTCCCCCAGCATCCCAGGATGTTTTGCATCCAGGGTGGGCAGGCTAGCTTTGGCCCAAGTTGTCTGCTCCAGTTGACCAGAGACGCGTTCTCTAACGCTCCCCGGCTTCTGACCTGGGCCACTGCAGGCACGTGACTGCATTTTTGGAATCAAAAGTGAATGTCTGTTCACTTGCTTATCAGTTCAATCCATGCATCTTAGACTAACCTGTAACGATTTCATTGATTCAGCCTTGGGCTTTATGACTGCCTGTACTTAGACCAGGGGGTCTGGGCATACTGTACTGAAATAGTCTTTCTTGAGAAAACATACACATGTAAAATTAATTTGTCAATGTTGATTTCAAAAGCTATCATGAATACCTACCAACTTGGGTACAGAACGTGGTGTTTTTCACTCCTTACTGTCACTGTGAGATTTTTTTTTTTCATTTCCTATATGGAAAAATTAATTCCAGCAGAATGTTTCAAGTAGAAATACTGACTTTCTAATAGCCCAGATTGAACAGAGGTCTTTTGTCCCCCCCACTTAGGGGGAACATTCAGTTGCTGTGGTTTGGCAACTGAATAACCAAACTGATTTTTCCTCACAAACACACAGGCATATTGACCTCTGTCTTACTGAAATCAGCCAAAACTATGGGTGCCTAATACAGTAGAATCTGGTTAATTGCATATCAACTATACAAATAACTAAAATCTGTGAATACTTTTCTATAGGACAGAACCATTTGCTATCTATCCCCTTAATTTTTGCCCATAAAGCCAAAAACTAGCTATAACCTATACAAATATAGACAGGATCAGTTAATCTTATATTGCAAAGATTGAGCGCTTCTGAGTTTTAATTGTCATGATAGGTTACTTATTTGGCATATCTGAGAGAAAAAAAGTAGACTGATTTGTCCTTTGCAGGAAAGCATGAAGTTTTGAAGTTGCTGGATCCAAAATTTATCCCAGGCAGAGAGCTGCAAGGCTGGGATGCTTTTGGTCATAGATATCAAGAATAGTTGCCAGACCGGCTCAGATTGTCAACAGGTATAAGATGAACAGAAATATTTCTTCCCCCAGTCTCTCCCTGGCTCCCCTCTTTCACTCCTCCCCCCCCCCCCGGGGCCTTTCCTGCACCAAGTCAGTGGAGTTTTGCCCATGCCATTAAACTCATTAGTTATGCCCTTCCCAGATTTCTCCCTTCCTAATGGACTTCCCTAACCACAAGGTTAGCATTACTAACTAAGCATAATAGTTGCTGTGTTTAAATATTTTTTGTTTTTACTGTAGAAGATTTTGATAAGCTCTTTTCCTTTATATGTAAGGTGCATTTAAAGTAGCTTTATTCAACTAGAATAAAAAGTAAATTTTAAATGGCGTGCATATTCTTTTTATTCCGTTCTTGTTTCCATAAAAAATGCAGCTTGAAATTTAATCATGAGTAAAAATAATGAAGACATTTTATTTCACTGTCATGTTTATTCTGATTTTTATATATTTTTTAATATAAATATATTTAAGTAATTATGTAGTTTAATAGAAGTAAATGTGATTTATCTTCTTGGTTAGCAAGAATGGCTCCCCTAATTTGGTACTAATGAGCCTGACCCTTCTTCCCCTTAAGAAAATTAACTAAAAATTGCAAAACAAGATCAGAATCAATTATTTAAATGTCTTGAAATTGGGGACTTGAGTTTATTTCCACTCCCCCCCCCCCCCCCCCCCCCTTTTCCTGTTTAATGGATGATATTTAAAAATTCACAACAATCTAAAGTACCTTTAGGACTTGAGGAAGAATGCACTGGATTTGAAAGCTTGTCTGTTTCAACCGTGCAGTTAGTCATGGTTGGTGAAGAGATCACCCACAAAAATCTTTGCATATTTCCTAGACCAACAAGGCTACAACACGGCTTCAACACTAGAGTCCTTATGGCTGTTACAAGAATGACTTAGTCGTGAATAGAGTGTAAATTGATACAAGACTGCCTTCAGAGACTATAGGTAGATAAGATTAATGACGTGATCTCTGTTCAGAGCATTCTCAACTGACCTGAAGGCTCTCAACCAGACCTGTCTGATTTCATTGTTGCTTGTCAGAACCTCATGGGTATCGGTGAAACAGACATGAACAAGATCAGGTCACAAGACCCAGAGTAAAAATTGGAATTCTGCAGTATTTGGAACTACTCAGTATGGTGGAAGAACCAGTAATGAAGGACTGAATAGTGGATTTGATCAACCTTCCTATTCCCGTGCAGCTGGGAGGAAGCTTGGCACAGAGAGGCAGGGATCCACCTGACTATTACAGCAGACAACTTTGGGATGGGGTGGGGCTGAAGGGTGGGACAGGGTGCTTGTGTTCTTCTCCGTGGCATTTCCCAGTTGTGGGGAGAGACATTTTTTCAGATGCCTTCTTGGACAACATTTAGGATAGAAATGGGAGGCTTTGTTCTCAGCAGGGGCAGGGAGAGCAGGGCATCCCACCAATCTAATGCTTGTATGGACTCGTCTATAGTGTAGAAGAGATGCTTTAAACAACCTAGCTCAGGTACTGGAAACAATCTAGCTTTAGGAGCAGTGAACTTGATGCAAGGTATTTTATCCTTCTGTGAAGTTTTGGCTGAGTTCTGTATTGCTACTGCTAGATTGCTTCTGGTATCTTAGCTTGATTGTGCATCTCTAGATGACATTGACTATTTCAGTAGTAGTAGTGGCACTTGAAGTAGTAGTAGGTTTAGTCTCTTACGTAGATCTTCACATAGGTATGTGATAAAGTGTTTGTGCTGGATAAGAGTTGGGGATTGGAGGTGGACGTGAATTACTTAATTCCATGTATATACAATTAAGGCTTTTGTGTGAAAAGTAGTTACATTTTTTTTTAATGTATTGCATGGTACGTTGGTTGTTAGTGCAACTATTAAATGAAATACATAAATGAATTGTTCCTTCATATTGTAGAAGCTTGCCTTTTTGAAGATATACTTCTGGAAAAGAATAGTAGGACACTGTTTTTAGCACCTAGTAGGTAATGGGCAAATTTTCTCCAGGCCTATAAAGAATTTATCTGCCTTTTTCCAGGAGAAGTACCTTAGGTGATGAATGAATTGCTCCAGCTGGCACAAGTCAGCTGCAAAATAGGGATTAGAGCTCATAGGCCAGAGCCTCAGCTGGTATAAAATGTTATAATTCTATTTGTTCTGTAAGGTCTGTACTGGGGCCAGATCTATGTCTATTAGAATCCTGCTTACAGTACTAAACTGAAGCGTCTCCCATGTACCTAACTTGGAACCTGAGTTTCTCTAACTGGGAAGTAGGAATAATGATACGAACTTTGCAGATTATTAGGCTTAACTAACATATCTAAAGCCCTTTGAGATTGTAATCTACTTTGAATATTGTTCTGATACAGCACATTTGCTCCAACAATCTCATGTTTTGGCACAGTGCCTCAAAAAATGACATATAGACAGCTGGTGCGCCTGTTACATGGATGCTTTCTTTCTTTATTTACAAAAAGACCATACTACTAACTTACTTTGGAAAGTACTTCCTGAGCAGTGGTTCCTTTCTATTTGAGAGAAACTGCATTCTTGGGAAGAAGAGCAGGAGGGAGGTGGGATGGTGAGCTAGCAAAGTTTGTGTCCAAAAATGCCTTCTTACCCAGGAAGCATAGTAGTTCTGCTATACCGTATTTACTCACATACCATATACACTCACACCCCCCCCCCCCCTCCCCCCCCCCCCAAAAAAAATAAAAAAAAATTAGGCCTCAAACTGTGATGCGTCTTTTAAGTGGGGGAAAAGTTTGGGGCGGGGGGGGGTTGTTTTGTATTATTACTATTATTATTTTTATTTATTTATGTATTTATTTATTTTGGAAGAGAAGCACGCAGAGACTGCTGTGAGATGGTTGTAGTTGCTATGCTCCCACTGCCAGCCTTAGGGGAGGGAGGGCTGAGTTCACTCTTCAGGGTCAGAGCTACCATGTTAACCTTCTCTTGCAGGATCTCCTACAGTCGGCATGCAGCCATGACTGGAAAAATCACTTTTATTCTGCCTTCCCAAAACAAGGTGTTTATCTTATTTGGGGCCATGTGGTAATAGAGAGTGCCTTGGAGTTGTTATAATAAAGCTCAGGTTTGGTGTGAGGCAAATTGGCTCATAATATTTTAAAGTACTGTTTAAAGTAATTGCATGCGGGTAAAAATGTTTTGTTGTATTATGGATTATTTTATATAGATTCAAAGCAAACATTTGCTAAAAGCTCAAAGCTTCAGTTACTGGGCATTCCACTACTTTAAAGTTATTGTTCATAGCTTCAGAATTTCTGAACTAGTTTCCTTCAAATTTTGGCTAGGTTTATAGATCTTACTGAGTGTTAAAATTAAACTATGGGCAATATATGCTGTAGATTATTTTATGAATCTGTGATGGTTTCAGAAATTGCATGCCTGTCTTGTGGAATGTTCATCAACAAACAATTTGATGTAAAAGCCAGCATCTTAAAGCATAAGCATGGGGGACCGAGCTTTCAAACTCATGTTTATTTCCAGACTTGGCTGGCAGACTATTTCAACTTGAACATTGCATTAAAATATTATGGGTTATATTATTTAACTATTGTAGTATATTAACAATTCAGTTATATTAACATTGCAATGTGTGTTCTCTGCTCTTTTATGTATATGATGTAACTTGTATTAGAAAGAAATCTACATCTTCGTGTTTCTGTAGAATGGCCTAACTGATCTAGTGATATTATGTCTGAAATGTTAAAAGTCTTAGTTAAGCATTTTTAGACACTTTTTAAAAAGACAATAAACCAATTGTCTCTATATTTGTTATTCCAAGTTACCCTCTCTTTTTGACTTACCTGGTAAATTTCTTGAAATCCTCCATTTTGAAATTGCCCTATATACATTGAACTTTTAGTAGAGTCGGAAGAGGAAATCTCAGAGAGAGAGAGAGAGCGAGCGTAAAATAATTTCATAAGCAAGAAACAATAGTTTCAGAGCTCTTGTCTACAGTGTCTATCTAGAAATGTTGGAAAAGTTGTTTGAGCTTATTTTCCCCTTTGGTGGTGACTAAATATACATGATTTTACAATTTGAATGGACATGTAATAGACGATACACTTTTTACATTTGCAAAGTATAGGATATTTTTATACCATGTTTTCTAGTATTAAGAAATAAAACAGTCCCTGAGGTGTTTTAATAAAACAGGTAAGTTTGAGTGAATATTATTTATGATTAATATATTAGATGCTGAAAAGAATATTTGTAAAAAATTATGTAATTAATTGGTATGTGGACTAAGAAACTCTCCAATTCCTCTTAACAGGCTGAAGAATAATGGCTGCCTTCAACAAACTGATTATTGGTATTGCTGTTACTAGTTTCACCATTTTCCAACTTCTGTTCCATGTTTTAAGTGCTTGGGCATCAGCACGGATAACTCCTGGTTTTAATAGTCTTAACCAAAAAAGGAAGATTGAATGGAATTCAAGGTAAAGTATCTAGCACAAAATACAAATGATGAACTAATGAATACATTTTGCAACTTTTTTTAAGGTCCCTATATAATAGAATATAAGTGAAGATGTAGAAAAATATGATTGTACATATTTGAGAAGTTCTGTACCAAGTTAAAGTACTGGGTTTAGAGTTTGGGTTTACCAAGGATTCCCCCAAGAGAGCCACTTGCTCAGGACTCTAAGCCTTGCCTAGTCTCTCTGAGTACCCTTGAAAGCTAGCCCAGGCACAGCTTCTAGTGATGTGAGCCCTGGCTTTTTTCCTCCAAGACCCCAGCCTTTTGATCCTTGATCTTCCTTGGTTACCTGTGGCTCTCATTCCAAGGGGTTACCTTCCTGGTCATTTCCTGATAGAGGGACTTTACCTCTTCAAAGGGAAGGATGCACCCCAGAGTGCCAAGCAGCAAAGCAGATAGTTCTTTTTTTTAACAAAGGCACTTATTGGGCAACTGCAGTCCAGCAAACAGAGGTCTTTTTGCCCTTCAAAGGTGTAAGCAGTCCCTCTGTCCCCTGTCTAGCCTGCACAGTTGTGAGCACCCCAGAGTTAACTCATCTGTTCTTTCTCTCATCTCCCTTGCTCTCAGGCCAACACCTCCACACCCATCCTTTTTCAGGCAGGCTGTTCTTTGTTGTTCTCCATAACCCACCTCAGTCCTTCCCTGTGGTCTCCAGGTATAGAGCCAGAATCCATTCCAGTGCTTGTTGCTTGAAGTCCACTTGATGTGGCAACAAGGCTGTTTATCTCTCTGTTGCTGAGTGCTCCACTGGCCAGACCTTGTTTCTTCTAGACTAGTAGGCTGTTCTACGTCTTCGTAAGGACCCTATTAGCTCCTCTTTAACCATGTACAGGCTAGTTGGGGAACCTGAGGCATGCAACATTATTACAGAACAAATTCATTTAAACCAGAAATAGTACAATAAAACCAGAGTCTGTCACAAGAGATGCAATTATAAACACCGCTATAGGTGAACTGGGAGGTAGTGGCAAGGGCAGGCACTATGGGGGGTAAGGTGCCAGGGCGCGCATATAGTAGGGGAACTAGTAGCAGGGGTTATGGGGACTAAGGGGGGACAGGTACTGGGGCACACGGGCATGGGAGGGGGTTGGAAGCGGGCATCAGGGGGAGGCAAATGGGCCCAGGGTGGAGGGGAAGGCGGTAGGCTGTTTGACACCTTCCCCCTTACTGCCTGCCTCCCCTGCTGCTGGCTCCCCTACCAGTGAAGTGGGGTGGGAAGACAAATTTCCGATAATTGGATTCTGTATGAGAAATTATAACGTTTATGAATTTATGTCTAGAATCTAGTTATTGTGGGGGGTTGTCTTAAATTCAGAGTTGTTTTGGATTTGTATAAGTGCGGTAAACTAGTTGCTAGATTATGTTTTGTCTTGCATAGACACTACTATGCAAAGGCAGCTTTAGACTCAGTATTTGACTAACCTCAATAGATAAGAGAGGTGTTGTAATCAGTTGCACAAGACACTTCAAAGGTGAGAAATAGGGCTGGGCCATGGATAGATGACAGGAGATTGTGTGTGGAGCAGGAAAAAAGGTGGGGGGTGGGGGGAGAGAGACGTGGTACAAGTATAACTTCCAGCTACTCCTCACTGCTCAGCTGCAGCATGACAAAGCCCTGCAGCTCTGTGGGCCAGATCTAGCGTATAGGGCATATGTTGCTGACAAATAACATAGTGGCATTATAACACCCTCTTATGTGTGACTCCTCATCCTTGCGCTAAGTTGCAAAGCCACAATACAATAATTATTGGAAAAGTGCTGATTGACCCAATTCTTATTTGCAACACATTAATATTGGGATTTGCCTTTTAATGGGCTTTTTCCTTGTGAGCAACGCTTATTTCCATAAATATGATCGTGGAACATAGGGTTTTAGAGCCCCTTCTTGGAGTACACTTCTCTAATAAAAATAAAGAAAAATAGGAGCTGCTATGTCACGCACAAGCTTGTTTGACTTGAAATTAATTCACACTGCACACTTTTTTGCTTGTGTGGCCTGCTATAGTTCTAAAATGTATTTAAAGAATGTTACTAAGACGCTTCTACCAACAGTGTGTATTATTTACAAAGCCAACTATTAAAATATAAAGCTTTGGGTAACAGCCATTTCTAAAAGAAACTGTGATGTGTGCAGTCTTAGTTTATTTTAGAAACTAAAGATCTACATTTTTGGAAACAAGTTTTTTTTTGGTTTTTTTTTTGGTTTCTGCGATCTCTTCTGTTGAACCAACTGTATAGTTAGAGATGTTAGACAGGCTTTCAAACAAAGTGCCCATCCATGGGTTAGGGACAGAAATTGCACATAAATTGGTATAAGTGATCAGAAAGTGGTTCAGATCTTTAACACAATAGAAGTTCAGTGCATATAAACTGCTTTCAGAAAAACTGGATGGATATAGTATCAGACTTAACTGATTTAGGTTAAATTGGTTTATTAAACCTCTGTCCCAGATCCCTTCCAGATCTGTTAACTCGCAGTCCCCCAGCATCTCAGAGAGGATGAGCTAGCTTTGACCCAAGATGCTTGCTCCAGCTGAGCAGGGAGGTGTGCTCTAGTGCCCCCTGGCTTCTGGCCTAGGCCACTGCAGGCATGTGGCTGCATTTCCGGAATCAGAAGTGAATGTCTGTTCACTTGCTTATTGGTTCAATCTATGCAGCTTAGATTAACCTGTGAAGATTGAATTGATTCAGTCTCGGGCTTTTTTTGACTGTCCTGGAGAGGGTCCTGCCACTGGTAGATGTGAAACGCTGCCCCCCCCCTCCTCCCTCCCCCCAGCACTTTACCAGAAGAGAAAACGTGTCAGTTTGACTTGGCTCCCCAGCATCTGTATAGATTGGGTGCTTCAGCAGGGCTTTTTGGCACTTTTATCCAATAGCTGATTCAATCAGCTATTTTATAGCTATATCAGCTATAAAAGTGCCAAAAAGCCCCACTGAAGCACATGCTGTATAAAGAGGGGACACACCAAGCTGAAAGTAAGGTGCTTTCCCCCACCCCCCCCTCTGTAAGCAGTCTTTGTGTCTGAAAGCTTGTCTAACACCTCTCCCAGCTATATGGTTGGTCCAGTGAAAGATATCACCAATCTTGCATATTTTCTGGATCATTGCAGCTATATCAACATTCCAACCATAATTTAAGACCCATTTTACCATTTATGGTTTTGACAGTTTTAGCATTCAAAAATCCTGAATTAGTTTCCCCTCTCTAAATTCCCAAAATAATGAGCCGTCATTTGTCTGGGGGAGGGCACGGCTTCTGCCACTGCGCACCTCTCATTCGGCAGCTCATCCCGGTGCTATTCCCACTTCTCAGCCCCAGCCTGCAGCTGCAGCCTGCCCTGTCCTGCACAGATCCAGGGGCACACACCCTCCCGGAGCTGTGGCGGGAGCCATGCCCCTCAGATGAGCCACGACTCGATCCTGCGCCTGCTGTGCCTGGGCAGTGCCTACCCCAGCCCCACTCCCTCCCTTACAGCAGGGAGCATTGATCTATCCCTCACACCCCTTCTCTCCCCCTCCCCTTTCACCACAACAGACTTACCAGCTAGACTCAGCTGTATCGGAGCGGATCAGTATTGGCCAATATGCCGCCTTAAAAATTAGTTATCAGTATTGGCCCCCAAAATGTCTATTGGTGCACCCCTACTACTCCCAAATCCATCTCCCCCCACATTTAACAAAATATAGAAAAAAAACTTAAGTTGTACACTTTTAGAGGTATGGAATATGTTCAGTTTGAAATAGCAGGTTGGGCCTAGCTGGGTGCTGCCAAACTACCTTCCAAAGACATCTTGAAGTTTGTCAATATACATGTTTCACTTGCATTGTATGTGTATCTCATGCCCTGAGACTGGAGGTTTCAGGTATGCATATAATTAGTGGAATGTGCATATGGACAAGACCTCTTCAATTACTTTATGGAAAGATAAGCTTATGCAGGTGAGCAAATGATATTGAGTACAGGAATAGCCCTACAGATTAAACTGTGAGCTAATATAAGTATCTTTATTATATGCTGTAGTTGATACCCTTTTGACACGCCTGACTCTTACTTGTATTACTATCTTGTATTTGTCTGGTTTGTTCTATAAGACCGAATAGCTTAGTCAAATTGTATTAGAATCTCACTGAAACTTTCACTTTTGGAGTTTTCTGGTTTTTGTTTGTTTGTTTTTTAAATCCTGCTCCTAAAGGCCAAATATCCGAGACTTGTTTTGAGTTATTCTTTTAACTTTGTGCTTACAAGCATAAAACTATTGTAGCACACATACTGGTCCATGTTTGTAGTACACAGTACAGCCAGTCTTCTGCTAGTTCTTTTAAGCTGAACATTTTGGAAGCAATTATTAAAAACTAAATAAATCTTGGGTTTGGTTTTTAAGATGCATTAGTACAGGGGTGGGCAGAATACGGCCTGCTCCAAGCACTTTCATCTGTCCCATGGCTCGGGGCAGCAGGTAGGAAAGCAGTGTCGGCGGAGCTGCAGGTGGGTGGAAGCCCGGAGCATGGGGCTGGGGCTGCTGGCAGTGCAGAGCTAGGGGGTTAGGAGGTGGGACTTCCAGTCCCAAGATGGTGACAAGGGGGCGGGGCAACTGTCAAGGGGGGAGGACTACCCATGTGGCCCTTGACAGCTCACCAAAATTCGTTAAGCAGCCCTGCACCCGAAATAATTGCTTGCCCCTGCAATAGTAAAAGTGTTAGTTTTAGGTTCCAGTTACTTTTATCACTTCAAACGATGATTATTATTTTTAAAATGTTATCCTTCCTTATGAAAAACTTTGATATGTATGGCAAAAATAGCTCATCACATGAGCAGTTGGATGTAATATAAAAACATCTAAAATAATATAAAATCTAAAAAATTTTTTTTAAATATTAAAAACAAAAAATAAGGACAAGATTGCTATAAATGTAGCTATGACATTAATTGCAAGTGTTCTGTGTTTCAGGACAGTATCCACGTTCCATGCCTTGGTGGTTGGTGTGTTTTGTGTATATATTTTATTGTATGATGAAGCTGTTAATGCAGACCCTATCTGGTAAGATATGTTATATTAAACTAATGTTAATAAAAGCTTTTAACATTTTTTTTCTTTTTCATTTCTCTTCCAATGATGCTGCTGTGCCAGTTCATTAACTAATCAAATAGTCAGTCAGTTTTCCTGTAAATTGTGGAGCTCCACTTATACGTCTGTTCTCACAATCTGGTGAAATTCGGATTATTTTACCAGTTAAAATACCGTTATAAATTAACAGAATGTATGCTCTGAATAGTGGCATGGATAGTTGCACAGAATCTGCTGACTGTAATTGCACACTGAAGTTCCAGTGCACAGAGCTGAAAATAATTGCGAATAGTCAAAATGTTAACTTGAATTAGATCAATATTTGAATAAATTAAGGAGCTGTAAAATGAAGCTGCTGTATAGCTTGTTGAAGTCCATTTGGGAGGAAAAAAATAGAGTTAAATGCTGGATGACACCATCTTAAATTGTTAAAATTAAGATACTACGTAGGCCTTTTCTGGGACACTAAAACCCTCTGTCACTGTTTGTAAGGTAGAGGGTATGCCTTTAATAAAGAAGACAGTAAGTTTAATTTTATTTTGGTCTTTGGTGTTAACCAAGCTGTAGCCCTCTGCCCCCCATCTTCAAGAGACTCTTGCAATCTAGCAGATTCTAGTTTTGTTTGACACGGATTGTTAGCGGAAAGCTGAAGCTTCACCTACCCTGTGAGAACTGACATTTCACCTCTGGGGAGGAAGTGACCTGCGTAACTAACTTTGTTTGTTTGTTTAAACTTCAACTCATAACTTGTTGTTTTAAACTAATAACTTGGCAATTAGACAAGATTAATTAACAGTATTTTTCAAACTAATTTAAGTATATTTTTCATCTGATTTCGAAAGGATTAAACTGACACACAAATCAATAAAACAATGCATTCTGGACTGAATAAATCTGGGTACCATGAAGCTGTGATTTCTGATCATATCTCTGCTGCTGGCTTGGTGGCTTTAGGCATATCGCTTAGCACCAATTTGTTTTGTCACTTATAAGAATGGAATAATACTTCTACTCTTTCTTTACCTGGGTCAAATATTTAGGATTCTCTGTTACAACTTGCTGAACATCTGTGATTTCCTCTGGCTTCCTTGCGAGTTCAAAAAATGCGGTACTGTGAAGGATTGGGTTAAAAGTTGAACAGCCCATTGAAGATATGAAGTGTCATTTGTTTTTGCTATAAACTGAAATTCTAATAGATTCTATTTAGCTATAAAATAATTCTCTACAATATTGGTCTCTTCTGTATTTGGCTCCATGGCTACTTAGCATTTTTCTTTCATTCTCTTGGTATCTGTTTTGAGAGAAGAAATACTAAGGCATTACCAAAAGGACTGGATCAATTGGGCATGCTTGAACACAAGGGAATGATGTTGTTTCTTCAGTGTTGTGGTGAATATTGAGTGAATTCAAGTTCTCTATTTTTAAGAAGTCTTGGTACAAAACAAACAAACAAAAAATGAATGGTGCGAGTACAAGACCACTTGTTTATCTTAAGTAATATACCTGGAAAATGACCTGATCATTAAAACAGGTAATTTATGGGGTAAATTCAAGTAGAACTAATGAAACAATTGCTTTGAATAATGCTTAGAGAAATTGTTGCTACCTCTCCATTCAGCACATCAAAAACTAATCCTGCACAGATAACCTTGAATGTTCAGCTATGTAAAAACATTAACAAGGAAAACTTATCTGCCTTTGGGGAGAAACTATTCTGTAACTCTGCTTATGTTTCTAACTATTTCCTTTGCTTGTGTAAGATCAGAGTAGCTATTGCCTATGGTTTTGGGCGATTCAGTTGACATCTGGTAGAGTGGAAAAAGCAATCTAAAGTATCAAACAGCTTTAAGAGCAACTAGATTTCTCATACTGAGAGAATGTCTAAGTTTTAGTGTTGAGTATGGGTTGGACTTGTGTGTGGTGTTTTTGTTTTTATGGCAGCTGTTTTGGGGATTGGACTATAGTATCTGAGAGTTCTCTTGGCTGGGTGAAATTGTTTTAGTTAGTGGTTTCAGGAAGTATAGAACCCGCTGTGTAGGGCTGAGCGCCAATGTTTTTAATTAAAGTACTTGAAGTCTCAGTTGCCATTTTTAGAACATTAAGAATTATCTGAGTTCTTGTTTATGAAATTAAGAGCAATATTGCAAGGGAAGACTAAGTGTGATAATATTGTCAATGAATCTGCAAGTTTTCTGATGGACTCCTGCCAGTGAAAGTAAAATCATAATTTGCTACCCTCTAGCTCCTAACTATCAGAAAATGCCAACTATGCCAAAATAAATTTTTTTTTTTTTTTGTCACGTGTAACAGATGCACTTTTACTTGCTGGAAGGCTGATTTGCTAGGCTGCAAAAATGAAATGGCTAGCATTTGTCCATTTAGCATCATAAATCCCATATGGAATAGCAAACACTATGCAGTGTCCAATTCATTAATGGACCATATAGTACTTGAATTCTATTCTGCAAGAGGCTGTTTAAAAGCTTAGTTGTACTCTAAATCATTAGTTCATCTAAGAGTTTTATAGGTCACACTTTCCATTTTTAGGTTGATTCATAAGTGGAATCCACTGAGATGTTATGTAATTGAATAAGACTGAAGACTGAGAACAAACTACCAAGGGAGATGCCAGGTGCATTGTAGCAAGGCTGCTCAATTGTGTAGAAATCTCATGCCTTTTCGGAAGGCGGACCCTATAAGATGTAGGATTTAGCCACTTACAAACAAATGGGATACTAGTCATCCACAGAAATCTCTTACCAACAAAATTATAATTATTAATGAGCCTAGTTTCCACAAGTTTAAGGCCTTGTACTGCTCCTGCACTTTTCTTAACCCTATACCTCCCCCATCTATTTGACCCTGGCTTAAATATACTAATTGCCTTGGGGCAGGGCTGTCCAGATTTTTAGTAGCTAGTGGCCACATGCCTCCCAGGCTGCCTCCTGTACACGCCATGTGACACCCTCCCCACTGCTCCCTACACTGTAGCACAGCAGTGCCCCATGTCCCACTGTGGGCTCCTCCCACTACACCATGTGGAGTCCCTAGGTCCCAGGGGCGGGAGCAGGGAGCTGGAGGAGGGAGGGGAAGCCTAGAGACCCATGGCAGCAGCAGTAGTAGAGTGATAAGAGAAGCGGTACCCAAACTGGGAGCCTTGGGGCTGCAGGTTAACGTCCCAAGGGCTGCATGTGACTTGCAGATCATCAGTTAGAAAGCACCATCTTAGAGCATCTGGGCAATTTTAGGGACCAATATATAATACAGGGAAAGGCTGTAAGTTAAAAATGTTGCAAATCTAAAAGAGATTAACAAAATATTTCATTCGCCAGTTAAGTGTATTTCTAGATAATACTAGGGGTGCACTGATAGAGACTTTGGGGGCCTATTTACCGAAAGCCGATTTTCTTTTTTAAGGAGGCATACCGGCTGATACCAATCTTATTTCCGATACAGCTGCGTCCAGCTGGTAAGTTTGTTGTGGTGGAAGGGACATGGGGGG